AGGAGGGGGGTGGAGAGGTAGAGGGATACAGAAGGGGTGGGTGGAGAGGGACGATGGATGTGTGAGAGGTAAAAAGATACTGGAGAGGTGGGGGAGGAGAGGTAGAAGATACTGGAGAGGTGGAAAGAGGTATGAAGGTACAGGAAGGGAGGGAGGGATGAGGTGGGGAAGGGCGGGGGTTGAGCTGTTCCAGCGGGTTTCTATGACGTCCCGAGAGGTGGAGTGCAGCAAGTAACATTACTAACAAGTGGTTTGATACCTGTTGCGTAACAATTCCTCTGCCGGCTGTGCAGATGTTCTAAGCCAAGCACTATATGTTTTTATGATCTGAGTTTCTGAACGTCTAGACCAAGCACAAGAATTTGAATTTTTTTATTTGTTTGTTTGTTTGTTTGTTTGTTTGTTGGGTGGATGGGTGGGTTTTTAGTATTGTTGTTTTTTGTTTTTGTTTTGTTGGGTTTTTTTGGGTGGGGTCTGTTTTGTTGTTTGTTTGTTTTTTGTTGGGGGGGGGTAGGGGGCTGTTGTTTTTGTTTTATTTTGGTTTTTTTGTTTGTTAATGTTGTTTGTTTTGTTTTTGTTTGTTGTTGTTTTGTTTTTTTTGTTGTTTTTTTTTGGGGGGGGCGTGTTGTAGGTAAAAATTTAGAAGAATGAAAGTTTGATTTTTTTTTCTCTGTCCAGAAAAAAAATTGTTTTCAAGTCTGAACAGTTTGCCGACCAATTGATGTTCTTCTTTTGCTGCAATACTGGGCTCGGTCTTATCGGAGATGGACGTGGATTATTTCGGAGATTCCACCTCTTAAGTGACATTTCAGTCCTATTGGGAAATGTAAACAACAGTAATTCGGTATAATAGGGGATAAAACACAATAAAATTTGGGGTTTAAATCCGATACAGTATCATTAAACTGTAAAGTTTGATTTTTAAAGTTGTTTTTTTTAAATCTGGTAGTAAAACCGACCGAGAGACTTCCTACATGGGAACAGAGAGAGAGAGAGAGAGAGAGAGAGAGAGAGAGAGAGAGAGAGAGAGAGAGAGAGAGAGAGAGAGAGAGAGAGAGAGGGGGGGGATAAAGACAGACAGAGACAGAGGCAGAGACATACAGACAGATAGACAGACAGACAAACACTGATTAACACACTCCCATACATACAGTAGAGAGAGAAAGAGAGAGGTGATAGCTAGAGAGAGACAGAACAACACAGAGAGAGAGAGAGAGAGAGAGAGAGAGAGAGAGAGAGAGAGAGAGAGAGAGACAGAGACAGAGACAGAGCACAAAGGG